TCATCCCCCTTCATTCTCCTCCTGCTCACCCTCCTCCTCCTCCCCTCCTCCTCCTCCTCCTCTTCGTTCTCCTCAACCTCCTCCACCTTCTTCTTCTCTTGCCGCCACTGCTAATTACTATTTTTAAAACATTAAAAGTAAAGTTTGTTAAATGAGTGGGAGTTAATTATGAAGCTACCGGGAGAGGCCGGAGGTAATTGGAGCGAACGACAAACAAAGGCTCGTACCTACGGCCGCGGACTATACCTATACCGCCAACCCAGCTACCTACTTTATTTTCGCGGAGAATTTCTGATCCATTCGCCATCGTTAATCCCGACCACTCGTCCTCGTCCGCGGGGCTCTTTCATTCGTCCTGCCAATTACGAGCTCGAGGCGAATGTCGAACCGGTTAAATTGCGAGGCTCCTCCGCAGCCCGAGGCGAGGGCTGCCACCGCCGCCGCTGCTGCTGCACGCGAGTGTGTCCTCGTGTGCGTGCGACTACGACGCAGCCCCCGGCAACCCCCTCGCGTTCGCTCGATCCTCTACCACCGCGCCGCTTGATTCCCTCTTTCCCTTGCTCTCGCTTTCTCCGCTGTTTCCCTCCCTCTCCTCACGTCGCTCCCTAGCCGCCACCTAACCCCTTCCTCGTAATCCTCATCCTCCACCTTCAACCCGTTCCTCCCGAGACACCCTCCAGCCGCCCACGACACCCTACGCTCCGCTAGCCCGCGCCGCGTTTGATTCTCTTTGCCCGCGCGCTGTGTTTCTTTCCACAATTTTCCGGTTATTAACGCGTCCGAGCCTCGTTAATGGAGCCTAATCGATAAATTAAGTTGTGGATGTATCGTTTGATTGTTCAGCGCCGTTTGCGACACGACTCCCCACGCGTCTAGGTGATTGATGAGCGATGCGACGGCCAGGCAAAAGATTTTTTAGTTGAACGGTTTGCTTGGATTTTGTTTTCCTGGGTCGAAGGTGGACTGTTTGAATTTGGGTATTGGAAGTAGATTGTTTTGAACTCTTATTTGAAATTTTGGCGATGGTGATCGGATCGAAGATTTTTTTATTTGGGATCCTGTGCATTGTTTTATGAATATTTATGTTATTACGGTCGTGATGATTTCGAAGATTTCTCCGAGAAAATTCATTTGTTTTAATCCTTCTATAATGAGAAATGCGTAGACTCACGCATTAATACATATTACTGTCGAAGTACGTAGTGGTACATTTCCGTAATTTAATTTTAATTTTAGCTTAATAATAATCAATGTATACTTATCCGATAATTACATGAATAGTACACAGGGGTTAAATATATTCGTTATTATCCGACCGCGAATGTTTATGCAAATGTAGATTTTCGTGCACTAATGTGCAGCAGTTGGAACGTCAACTCTCAAAGGGTCTATTACGTTCGAGGTGAAATAGGAAAGTAATTAAACTTAATCAAAGTTTTAATTGAATGTCAATAATTTAACTGAATATCAATCAATTTTGCATTATGCAAAGCTTTTTTTTATCAAATCGGTAATGGAAGGCAAAATTAATATTTCCGTTTAATGTGTGGCAAGCATAAGATGTATGTATGATCTGAAAATTTATGAACACAATTTTCCTTTCTTCAGTTTCTAATTTTGTAATACCAGTTACTTAAAAATAAGTATTTACTTATATTAATAGAGAATTGATTATAGTTCCCCCGACTCATTTCCTGACTTTACCTTAACATTATACATTCAATATTGTCTTCCGTAATTTTCTTAGTATACTTCTGTCCTTGTCGCGAGACGAACGTTCCGCTCGCGAGAAAAGATAAATTACGATAAGTTGTGAGAAAATTACTCGAGGAGTATTGATCCCAGCAAGCATATCGGTACAGCAAACTGCGCGTAATACGTTGGACAACTTGATAATAACTTGCGGGCTCAAGTTTCGGATCACCAAATTTATTCTGCGGTAATCGAACATCCGGCCCACAAAATATTCTAATAACGGCTGGTGCTGTTCCCCCGGTAAAATTGAAAGTCACGTCGAAAGTATAACGTTGCCCCGCGAAACTTTGTAATTGCTTCCCCCTACACCCGCCCACACCCTTGCCGCCGTCTTTTCGGTGATAGGCAGTAGGTAACTTAAAATAGTGTACAGTAGAGAACATTGAACACCGTTTTGGTTAGATCTTGGTTAAATCTTCGCCAAACAATTTAACCAATGAACCACAATTTGAACGTTCATGCTTACCCAGATTAAAAATCGAACGATTTACTAAATTTATCCAATGTTACCAGAGTTAGTATCAATAGAATGTTACTAGAATTTACTAGATAATTGTTAAAATACGTTCAAGAAAATTTGACTAAATTAAAATCTGAGAAAACAAAGCATCCAAAAGAATTGTTCGTGGAACAAGCAGCATGTATCATTAAACCTCAAAAGAAACAGGGCATCGTATCAAGAGTATCGCGAAGCGCCAAGAAACTGATCCATCCGAAGGCATTAATCAATCCATCTTCAGAACAAAAGTTTCCCAACAAATATAGATCAACGTCGATTCAAGTCAATTAAAATCCTATTCATCCCGGCAGAGCCCGTGAATCAACGCGGAACGCGTTCATCCCCTAAGAACTGCGTTCCATCGCGGATCGAATGATTCTTGATCACCGGGCATCGCCGTTGACTAGGGGGGTCGATTAAAATCACATCAATTAATACCGGGTAACATCAATCCCGGGAAATCCAGACGTTCCTTCATTCGTGGAACTATTACCGCGTAGGGATAGGAAAAGTGGGGGATCGAAAAGAGAAGAAAGAAAACGAGGGCGGGCCGGAACGCAGAGCAAACGATCGAGGAACCGGGCCGCGGTCCGTCCGCGGAAGAAAAACCCGTGGTGGATCTGTTTTCATTAAATAATTCGCTAATTAAGACGAGCAAGGCGGACGCGTATAATTCATGGAAAAAACCGTTTCGCTGAAGAGCCGGGCGGAACAAAAGCCGCTGGTAAGTAACGTTACATTAACGAGAAAAAGTATTAGGTTAAAAAACTGGTGAAAGGAACTTATTATTCCGGCAAGTTCGTTTTTCTCTATTTTTTTTAAAGCTTCGCGTTCCATGTGGTTGCGTGTGCGTGTGTGGGGCCGGTTGGAACACTATGGCATAGGGAGAACGCTCGGCGGCGGAGGGGAGTATATATCTCGAGGAAATCAAATAACGCGCCGCGCGGCGCGACGCGGCGCAGCGACGCGGGCGAGGGGGGTGGGGGGTTTGAGTTTTACGGTTATTAATTAACCGATACCAGATTTCTGCATTAGCACTCTGTCCCCACTAATGCACGGAGTACAAGTACTCGGATAATGTGTGTCCTTTTCGCCGCAGATGGATGCGCCCGATACGGAGACACTCGCCCGCCATCGACAATAGCTACGCACACTATCTCGCCGACTTGTAATTCCGCGAGATCTTTCTTCGCTATTTTCGGCGAGCTCGAGATCTGCGCGGGATTATTTTGATGCGCGAAAATGAATTTAATATTGCCTGGAAGACGATTTTGTCGGAGGAAGTTTGACGGAATGGGTATTCTAAGTTTCTGTTTTGCACAAGTTGATAGATTTCTTGGGGATGAAATGGAATTATCGGGTGGTTCGTTTTTCGTATAATCTTTCTGTCCTTCTATGTTGAAAATATTTTTTCAATACTTTCCTGGATATATTTCCCATATTTTCTACATTTCAATGCTAGGTTTACGGGATGCGTCAATTTTACGAATACTGGATTTCATAAACATTATCTGGTAAATTTGCAAAATCTAAATGAATGAACAGCAATTTTTCCCAGAACAATTGAATAAATTATACAATAAATTCTAGTGAACCAAGTGTTTAAAAATTAGAGTATTTAGCAAAAATAGATAGGCCTCAGTATCAAATCCATCACCTAACCTTTATCCATAGAAACTACCGAAATACATTCTATTAATATCGAGTTCTACTTGAAGACTACACTAAAACGACTCCATTTGCCCATAACAAAAGCCCACTAACATACATCAATGAGCAAAAGTCAAAGCAATAACGTCCCAACAACGAGGTGGTTGATGGCGCGCGACATGGCGTCTGCATCATTCGCGCGACATTCGGATTCCCAGACGGCCCGAC